ATCTCAAAGCGCTAATCAACACCATCATGCATCAACCGCTAAGGGTTAAAGCCCAAATGCCCAGTATTTAGCTATTTGATCTTCACGGATCAAGCAAGGACTTAGATATCATCTCACGTGCAACAGTATTTGCATAGCACTCCATTTTATCCATGCCACAAAAATGGTAAATTTAGTAGTTACCAATAAATAAGTTGGGGATCAAAGGGACTAAAGCCTTAGACTGCTCTTTATCATAAGATATCCTCAGACAAACCTCCCCATTCTTCATTCTGGCTCTATAAAATTAAAGAGCAGAGAAAAACTGGTAAGTGCTTGACTTTACAGAAAAAAAGCCATGCTATTATTTCCTTTCTCATTATATATGTGTGTGTTTAAACAAATCCAACTACAACACCACCCCCCACCCTATCCCTCCAAAAATCTAGCTTAAAATAGGTGGTGGGGAAAAGTATTCCAAGTATTGCAAAGAGTATCAATTTAGGAATTTCAGCATGTTGTACTTTAAGAATCAACTTTAGTACCAGTGGCATGTTAAGACAGCCAAACATTAAAAAATGGATAATGGGCCAATTTCTGGGCTTTACCCCCAAATCTAATTATGTATTCATACAACCAAACACCAAAAGGAATAAACATGAAGTTTGGTCTAGAAATGTCAAAACTAATCCCTTATTTACCAAGTAATGAAGTAAAATAAAAAAAGATATCTTTATTATCTAATCACAATGTCTACTAATATTTTAGCAACTATTATTTGAATATACATTTAATGTTACATTTTTATTACTGACTGTAATATGCTAACAGAAAATCTGTATCCACTGACCTTCTTCCCTATTTGGCTATAAAATGAAGGACTACCTTAAACTACGTGTTTATACAAATTGGGTAAGAGACATTTTTAAAAATTTTTTTCTGAAGAAAATAAGCATTCTTAAGGATAGAAATGTGTATTTCACAAATTTTTAAAAAAATCAAAATCATTGAGATTTGCATATACCTTTAAGCCAACAGATATAAGTTCAAAGTCATCTTTGGTGCTTAGAAATAATCAATTCAAGTAAAAGACCTGACACTAAGTGGAAAAATCATGATACATGAAAAATTAGATTAAAATTAACCAATTAGGACTTCTACTACAAATGTAAGTCTGAATTGAGATCTTCACAGCTATATTTACAATTTCGGAAGCAGAATCATTTCATGAAATTGATTAAGTGAATGCTATATCCCAAACTATAAAACCCAAAAAGTTATAAATCCAGCATTTTGATCAATCCAACAAGAAACAGGTTGAAAAGTATTATTTATATCTACATATCCAATAAAAAATTCCAACTGCTGATAATCTGGACAATAAAAATTTGCAGTCTAAGAAGTCAAAGATAGCACTGTCTTTTCCACATAGAAAAACCTCTAGGAGAATTATGAATTTCTCACTATATGACTGAGAAACAAAGAAGTTCGTATCTAAAACAGAACATTTAAAATATATATACCAAGACAATACATAACTGGGGTTGGGGGGAGTACACAGTGGTTAAGATTTTACACAGCTGTGAAGCCTAGTAGATCTAGGTTTAGAATCCTGGTTTTGCCAGTTGCTAACCAGGTGGCCTCAGACCAGTCATGGAACCTCAGTGAGCTTCCACTTTCTCATGAGGCTACCTCTAACCTTTCACAGGATGTCTTGAGGATTAGCACAGGATGCTTAAAGCAAACTGCTGAGCCCAGGGCCTCACATACTCAAGCATTAGTTACCATCATAATTATTTTTGTTGTCATGGTATTCAAAACAAAAAGTTTTCCAGCAGTTTGTGGAGTGCTCTTTCTCTTATTCCACTCGCTATTTTATGAACATAATATTCAAATACTCTCCCACAGATGTAAACCTGTATCATGCATCAAAAATATAAATGAATCTATTTTTAAGAAACATGCATCTTGTCATTCCTACATTTCTTTTCAGAGTATGTTGATTAAGAGAACAGAATAACCTGAAGCCTTACTGCTCCACACAGACTTGAGCTTGGCTTCATAATGGCCTTAACCTACAATGTATTCTCACCCTAAATTCAGAATGGACCACCACCTACTGCTTCCCCAAGACCTACATGGCTAAGAAAAATGGTTCACTCAGACTGCTAAATAGACAATGTCTCAATGTAGAACTCAGTTTCGTTTGTGTACAAAGCAATGTAAAAGCAGTCACAGAAGAGAAGTAGGACCACAGCTTTCTTCTAAAGACAAAGGAACTGTAATTAACAGTAGTCATTTATTTATTTTAAACAAAGGTTACAAGGGGGTAAGGAAAATTTTACATGGGACCAACCATAGTTATCCTATGCTTTTCTCTCTATACTTACTTTCTCCAATTAAAGACATAAAAATAGGCCGGACACGGTGGCTCACACCTGTAATCCCAGCACTTTGGGAGGCCGAGGTGGGTGGATCACCTTTCAGGAGTTTGAGATCAGCCTGGCCAACATGGTGAAACCCTGTCTCTATTAAAAATACAAAAATTAGCTGGGCATGGCGGTGTGCACCTGTAGTCCCAGCTACTTGGGAGGCTGAGGCAGGAGGATTGCTTGAACCCAGGAGGCGGAGGTTGCAGTGAGCCGAAATTGCACCACTGCACTCCAGCCTGGGTGATAAGCAAAACTCCAACTCAAAAAAAAAAAAAAAAAAAAAAGACATAAAAATAGTACTTCAAACAGAAGGACAACATTAACTATTAAAATACTCCCACAGGGAAATATATATACATATGTACATATACACACACAAATAAATATGGATCTGCAATAATGTTTTTATCCTCTAGTATATTTAAATACTAAATATATGCTCTATGGTAAACTTAACATTGCTGTCATATTCTAAGGTCTACAGCAATTTCCCAGTAGCATTTAAAAATCTAGGCACAGCCGGGCGCGGTGGCTCATGCCTTTAATCCCAGCATTTGGGAGGCCAAGGGGGACGGATCACTTGAGGTCAGGAGTTCGAGACCAGCCTGACCAACATGGTGAAACCCTGTCTCTACTAAAAGTACAAAATTAGCCAGGCATGGTGGTGCAAGCCTGTAATCCCAGGTACTCGGGAGGCTGAGGCAGGAGAATCGCTTGAGCCCAGGAGGCAGAGGTTGCAGTGAGCCAAGATCGTGCCATTGCACTCCAGCCTGGGCAACAAGAGCGAAACTCCATCTTAAACAAACAAACAAAAATTTACTCTCCAGGAAAAATATTAAAATTAAAAGTTGAACTTCAATAACTTTAAATACATTTTAAAGCAAATGTAATTAATCAGGAAATGATGGTAAAACTTGGAAGAAATGTCATGTTCTGACAGAGCAGAATACAGATCTGTGACAAAATATGAAAGTGATCAAGGGAAGACATATATGAAAAATTTCCAATTTCTAATCCTGGTTTTGACCTAATTTTTTAAAAAGTCTGATAAGTGAACAGCAAAATAAGGAGATACTAACTTTAAAAACCAATTTTACAATAGTAGAGTATATGCTTATAGTCAGCACACCTGATATTAAAAACAAACCTCCAGAATAACATTTCCAATCAATTGGTAAACCACTGTCGCAAACTGCACACACAAGGCAAAGGGTCTGTGTTCATTTCACTACTGAAGAGTAGATGGCATGAGGGCTGCCAATCTAATACTTCACCTTTGCAGGCACCTTAACCACTCTTCTGATAACTACAAGCTCATTAAGTGTACAATGCATTGTCTGACATTTAGTAGATGTCTATTCAGATGATGTCATCTCAGCTTCAAGCAATCCCCACAACTGTCCCAGTCAGTGACTGATGCAGTGAGATTCTCAAATAGCTTTCCCTTCCTCACAGAGTCCAAGAGTTAAGAAGTTAAAATGGAGAAAGCAAGTTACTCTTCTCCCCTTATTTCATTCCCTTAAAACTGAAGGCTAAAAAATGGGACTTAAAGTCTCCTTTGGTGACTAAAAAAAGAACAAACTGATAAACAAGTATGTAACAAAGAAGGGACTAAAATAAACTGGAAATACAAAACCATATTTTCAATGCTTCTGGAAAATGAACCAGTGAGCCAAAAATATTCAAGACTTTTATATACATGCATACACACACTTAACAACTACTTTAGTGAAAACACATTTCATTTTTCAGTATTTACTAATCACTTCTCATGCTGTAAGCTTTCCATATGATAAAAATCACAATTAGCTCTAAAGTATAATTCAATTTGGTATCTGAATTAAGGTATCATTAAGTTTTTAGAAAAAGGTAGTCTTATCTACGAAATGTTAAGCTTCAGAAATAGAAAGTACATCAGCATCAACTGCACGATTAACTCAAGATGACTATGGTAATTAGAAAGAAAAGGGAGTTACACATCTGGGGATATGGAGGTAAGACAAAAATGCAGTTTGACAGAACATGGTTTGTTATTTAAGAAGAGCAAAGAGAAATGCTAACGCAAAAAAAACTAGAAGTTTCTACAAGAAGTATAATTAGAAAACACTATCATTTGCTTGGTTACTTTTGCATTTAATGGACATGAGGTAAAAATATGAGCCAATTTGGAATTAAAATGTCATAATCTCACAGTCAACTCCTGATTATCTACACTAATAAAAAAGGGGGTTATCTTAAACAATTTGAAGCAATAGATGGAGAGTTCTCAACCTACTGCTACTTTCAGCCAATCTTTTCCCTTCTTCAAGTAGTCTGTCCTCTAAAGGTTTAGACTCCAGTGTTTTAGGGTCCAAAAAGGGCCATCGGGAAGAGGCCTGACCGATAGACTATCTCCAAACTGAACCATCCAGCCATAGATAACTGAGTTGACGTGACTGACACATATTCCAGTCAATAAACTGCAAATGGATGGACACTACATGCCAAGCATGCTTCAGAGTAATTTCTGAAACTGTAAGAATGATGACTGAGACTTCCCCAGCAAGAGCAAAACATGCTAGTGCCTAGTGAAGAGAACAAGTAGCTTACCTCCTGCAGTAGATCGGCTTGCTCAATTGCTTTAAGGACATTTTTCTTGGATGTTTCCTGAACTTCCCCTCCCAAAAGAAACTCATCCAAAATAAAATAAGCCTTCTCAAAATTAAAGATGATATCTAGTTCACAGACCTGAAAAGGAAAAAAAAAAAGAAAAGAAAAAATTGTTAAAACTTGCAGAAGCCTAAGATGCTTATTCACTACCAGGTAGTGAATAAAATCAAATCAGAGTGAATCAATCTTAACTCTTTCTAAATATGACTAAGTATCACCGGTTTAAGTAAGCTTAATTTCTAAATCTCAAGTACTTGAAAACATATTCCTACAAGCTAAATAAGATTGGGCTCTGCATGTTCCCAATGTGGGCAACTTAATAATTTCTAGTAATAAAAACTGATCTTTAAACATGTATTTCCTGGGTAACATGATCAGAACTGCTAACCAAATCTAAATTCTATACTAAGCACTTACAGGATATTAATGTTTGTCGTTGGACTTGTTTATATTTCACTATTTTAAACCTCATCTTCACCATCTTAATTAAATGAGTTACGTCTGCAGGGCCAGCAATTCTGAAAGTTAGGAACTGACCAGGCCCACTGACAAGAAATAGTCATTCCCGCCCTCTCCTGCGGTTAGAATCCCCAAGACAACCAAATAATAAACTTGTTAGAGAAAAGGTTCCAAAAAATACTATGGCATTCAATTTCCTAAAATAAAATACTACTCACACTGCCGAAATACTTGTCAAGTAATTCCACATAACGATGAATTATTTCCAGGGTAATTAGTTCATTGTCCTGATCCTCAATAGCACAGCAAAAATATAGACTAGCATATCTGTAACGAAGTACAAATGTGAAAAAAACTATTACCCTGTAATCATGTTTTCTAAATATATTTTCACATCCTATTATGAAAGGTCCCAAGTTTATACAGTTTATTTCTTCTTTCACAACAGTACAGATTTTTCTCGTAGACTACAAAAGTAATAAATGCATAAGAGAAATTTTGAAAAGCATAGGCAAGCAAAAAGAAAAAAACAAAATAATCATACCACTTAGAAAGAATAAGTGATTTTGCCCTTCTTCCTTTCAGGTTCTTTTCTATAAACATTTTAAAACACAGCAGACCCAGGTTTTTCCTAAGTTTACTTAATTAAAACAAAATACATAACAGATTAATTCAAACTATAAGTACAGAGAAGAAAATGAAACCTTTCAACTGACGGAGGACTTGTTGAAGATAATGTCAAGATGAGGTCAATATTTTGGGATATTTTATTGGAATATGTATAATATACACACAGAGAAGACCTTAAGTCCTACAAGCTCAATAAATTTTCAAAGTGAACTCAACTATATACCAGCACCCAGATCAAGAAGCTGAACACTAGTGAACCCTGAAACTCCTCTGCTACCCTCTCCCAGTCACAACCTCCCATCCCCAAGGGTAACTATGCTCTTGACTTCTAACAGCATATAATTATTTTTAAAAAGGTTTCTAGGATTGTGGAATAAACCACACGAAAAGAACAACAGCTCCACGTTATTACAGAAGTTAGAGAAAGAGAACAGAAAGTTCCTATCACTTAAGGGAAACAGAGACCTGTCCTCAAATTTACCAAGTTCTACACTGTTGAACTGAAGTGTAGTTTATTTACCCTAGAAGAGGGAATAAGGTTGGGAAACTTATATTTTCCTTCAAATTAGGATTCTAGATATGGAATCAGGTGATGCTTGACCCAAGGAAGCAAAACTTCAACCTTGAGGCATACCAAGTCCTTTGAGGAGGATTAAAAGGGCATTTTAAAATGGTTTACATGTACTTAAGCCTTTTGAAAAGAAAGAAAATAAAAACCTAAGATAGGCTAAACATAGAATATCTCAGTGGAGATTATAATTTTCACTGAAGATCACTTAATTGATTTTTAGAAAACACAATGGGCAGTTACTGCTCATAGCATTAATGTAAAATAATACTGTATACAAAATAACACAAACAACCTGTTTTGAGTCTCAATGAATTCTTGCTCCTTAGTGTGAAAATAACTAGTATTCACACAACAGCATTAATTTCATTATTAAAACATTTCATCTTATTTGATGTTTTCAACAGCAAGTACTATCTTTCATCATTGATTACAGATTAAAAAAAGACAAAAAAAAAAAAAAAAAAAAAACCGAGGCTTAAGAGTACAGCGCCTACAAGTGCTAGTAGTGGGATAAGAGACCTGATCTTCTGACCTTAACTCCAGGCCTTTTTCCACTGTGTCATACAAACTCACCTGGCATATTTATCATGACTTTGTGCATGTCTACTCTACGTGTCTTCCACACTCAGTAAGTTATTTAAAATGGTGGGGCTCCTGCAGTCTTACTGAGAGGAGGTATTCACATGTGTTCATTTATCATTATTGATAAATGAAGGGAATAAGTCATGGAAGACAAAACAGGGCATCAATGCCAACTTTAACAAAGTGCTCCCTCTCTTTCCCATCACTACTCTGTTTTTGTCTATCTATTTAAAAGAGACTGGAGTATTCCAACTCTCCATCCTCCCTAACCCGTGCTCATTAAATAGAACTTTGAATCTGGGGAAACTGATAAATGATACATAAGATTCCCTGATTTAAGAAAACTAAAGATTAAAGGGACTGACATAAAAATGGTAGATTAAAAACCAGATATGACTAGCTGATAGGAACAGAATGCTAAATAATTTATTATACAAAGTTTACTAACAGTTTCAAGTAAAATTCCTTTTACTCTAAGATTTCCTCATGCTACTATTAAACAATCTAATGCTCTTACCATCCTCGCTCCTTATCCACAGTACTGCCTCTTTCCTTACAAATAAAAAGCACTTAAACACTAGTCAAAGGTCCTAAACTGCATGAATCACTTGGAAGCATTAATTTAAAAATCATCAGGAACGATGTGTCTAAGCCCCAGCCAGTAATGTTTACTTTCACTCAGAATGGAAAAAGAATAATCAAATTAATGAATTCTTTGGTGTAGGTGAACAGATAGCTATCAGGATAATGATGTGCCTCTTTCTAGAAAGCTTAGGGAAAGAAAAAACAGAAGCATAATAATTAAGTACCATTCACTGAATCCTCGCCCTACATGGGACACTAAATGTTAGCTAAGGCTTTTGCATATTTTACCATTCTAATCCTCACAACAACCGTATCCATGAGATACCATTATTACTTGCATTGATAAGAGACCCAGGTTTGAGTAACCTGCCTAGGAACAGCAATTTGACTCTAGAGCCCAAGTTTTACATTAAAAACTATAGCCAGCAATTGCATTAAAGTAATCCCATACCTGGCAAAAATTAAAATATGCTCAAAACAATATTTTAAGAGCTTTGAAGAGGAGAGAAATAAAAAATGCCATACTGATTTAGTAAAAGATTACCAAGAGAACCTGAAGTGTACTTCCTATATTTAGGACCAAGTGGTTTTTAAAAATTCAATAATGAGCTCATTTTGTTCTCTTAGTGCCTATTTGTAAGTCTAAAACTGAAGTAAAATTAATAATAGACTAGTAAGAAGAAAGGTATGTTTGGTTATTTTTAGCACAGTGGATTAAGGCTTACTCTAATTACTGGCACTCAGAGAACATCTGAAAGTGCCTATTCTTATATTCAAAACACATGACTTCTCCGCAGTCAGCTAAATATCAGCTAAATATCAGCTGACTGTGGGTGACTGTAGCTAAAGTGTTCTCAATACTCACTGGTATGTCATTAAAAATTCTTTTGTTAGTAAAGAAAATCAATAATTATTCTTTAACAAATTCTCAAGCTAGTAATTTGGAGATATATACGTTTTTAAATTAATTTTAAAAGACCTTAATCCAGTGACTCTTCCACAAAATGCTACACAAAACAGAAATCAAAAAAGCATAGTATTCTGTCTTGAAGGGATCCTCAAGAACATTTATTTTAGAGATAAGGAAACAAAGTGACTTGTTTAAAGTCATAAAACTAGCTAATGTTACAAAGGGAACAGAACTTAAGTCCCCAGATTTTCAGTCTGTCTTTTCAGCTAATATTAATTATTCTTATCCATCATTCCCCCCTCAAAAGGGGGAATTTGTGTGCCAAATACTCAGGATGAAGAATGTAGATGAAATAATTTAACAAAAACAACAAAAATCACTTGCTGATATGAACAGCAAAAGTCCCAGTCCAAAATTTCTCAGGAGCTAAGCAGTAATTCCCTTGCTTAAAAAGCTCTTCACTTCCAGCAGTAGGGAAAACAAATCACCTGTTTATACCAACAAAAAAAATGTCCATAAGTGGTAGAGCAGATGAGGTTTTCAGTATGAAATGGAAGGGGGAACACATAGAGAAAGAGCTGATAAATTCCACCTTTTATATATGACTGATATCTCAATAAAGCTGTTATTTTTTTAAGTCCACCTTTTATTTAAAGGTGCTTGATATAAGTATCAGAGTTGGGTCGGATACCCTTTGTAGCTTTTAAAAGAAAAAGCAGTGGCTCAACACGGACGGACGGGCTGAGTAACATGTACATGAACACCAAGCAGTGCTTTCCTTTCTTCCCATAAAAGCCCATTCCTGGGATTGAATCCCTTGCTGGTATTTTCCTCCTCCACACGGGGGACTCCTTCCCCTATCTAGAAATAAGCTTAAGCCTCTCACACCTTCTTTTTTAAAAACCTTGTCCCCTATTCCTATGTCTATGAGTGGTTACCACCTCGTCTCCTGTCCTTCACAGCTAAGTTCCCCAAAATAGTCTACACATGCTATTTAAATTTCTCCACCTCTTCACACTTCGCCCCATTACATCGAGAGTTCTATCTCCACTGTTCCACTGAAAATGATCTGGCAAAGGGCATTATATGAAATGCTCACTGTAAAATCTACCAGATTCCTTTCTCACTTTCATTGAACTTTATGCAACATCTGGCATTGGTGAAACTTCTCATTCCACTCTGAAGGTCCCTTCTTCACCTCCTTTGCCTGCCACTTGAATGCTGGTGATCTAATACTTTGTCTTATTTTCCCCAGACTTCCATACCTACGCCAACCACATCCCACCAGAAAATCAGGCTTCTCTTAATGAAAGTCACATAGACATCCCCAAAATCAACTTGCCCCAAAATAAGCTGAGTTCTCTAGCTCACCTTGTACCCCATCAGCAAACCAGAAATGTGGAGGTCACACCACTCCTCCCTTTCCTTCGCTGCTCTCTCCACTTTTTGTTGTTGTTGTTGTTGTTGAGGGTCTCACTCTGTCACCTAGGCTGGAGTGCAGTGGCCCAATCAGGGCTCAGTGCAGCCTTGAACTCCCAGGCACAATCAATCCTCCCACCTCAGCCTCCAGAGCAGCTAGGACTACACGTGCATGCCACCATGTCCAGCTAACTTTTTTGTTTGTTTGTTTGTTTGTTTTTATTGTAGAGACGGCGGGTCTCACTAAGTTGCCAGGGCTGGGCTTTAACTCCTGGGCTCAAGCGATTCTCCTGCCTCCGCCTCCCATGTTCTTCCCACTTCTAGAGGTGACCAAGTCTTATCAAACCTACCTATTTGATAATGGCTATTTAGTAATAGCCCTCCTTTCCAGCAAATGGGTTCAGGATCTCAAATAGTCTCCTACTGATTCTGTAGGTGCCAGTCTCAGCCCCTCCTGCCCTCATCCATTGTCCCAGTTCAGTCTTTTAAGATATGTAAACCTGATCTTTTTCCAGCCCTGTTTAAAATCTTTGCCTCCAAGCTTAAGATCTGAGTTGCAGCCCCAGGTCAATCACTAACTGGCATATGGCCCTAGACAAGTCACCTCTCCCAAATTCGCATTCATTAAAAAATTGAAGTTTGATCAACAACGGCAGTTTTCAAACTCAGGAACTGTCTCCTGTGCAGAGGGGTAAAGGCCAAGTGAGCCAGGATACAGGATCCCCGTTTCTGATTTCACGTGGAGCAGCCTCACTTCCAGTCATTTTATTTATGGTTCTACCCATGGGGCAAAAAGCTTAAAACGAAACAAAACAGGACAAAATCACCTGACTAGATTACTGTAAAACATCTCTCACCTCTCAAATGATATGATTTTTCTATGATCTTTAATAAGACCAAACCAAACACTGGATACAAAATCACCCAAAGATACTAAATCACCAAAGATCATTCAATAATAAAGAGGAGTCCTCAATATTTAAGAAACTCTCTATGTCTTGTAATCCCCATTTCTTCCCAGCCATCTCCCTGACAAAATATCCAACCCATATCTGGAGTGCAATAAATGGAAGCCGAGAAGAAAACCAGACTTCTCTCCCACCCTCATTTTATCCCATACTGTTACTTCCATGCATATTCCCCACACAAGAGAACTTTTTATATGCAGAAATGCTCTTATCTTAAATTCAGTAAATAATTCAAAAAGAAACAAATGGGGAATGAAGTAAATGTCCCCTCAAAAAATGTTCTGTAAAAGAAGAAAGTTTATTTCTTTTACCCTACTTAAAACAATCTTGAGAAATTTATTTTAGGGTATTCAGGGATTCAGATATTTATAAAATAAAGATGTATAGCATTAAAAAAAATTTCAGTGTTAAAAGCCAATCTATGAGTCATTTTGTAACATCAAAATTTTAAAAAATCTGTCCTTGGCAAAATTATCTGTCATATTTAACTGCACCCCCACCATAGCAACAAGGGTACTTAAAGTTAATAAACACTACTCACAAACAGATCTCTTATACACATAAAGTTTTTAAAACAGCTATGTGATTGAAATAGTCTACATATTCAAGGTATTTATACGTAAGATTCTAAAAATCAGATAAAAGGCATGACAAATATTAGTCATTGCTTTATAGATTTTCGGAGAAAAAGGATTAGACTATCTATACTTGTCTAAATTCAGATAATTACTCACACAATTTAAAATACTGACCCTACTTTCCCCTGCAATGAAATGAATTCATTAAACTCTTCTATAAAGATGATTAAGCATGAATAATCATTTATGCCTTCAATTATATAACTAGTTTTCAAATGATTTCCCTGCCTTTATCATTCCAGCCTCAGTAATTACCAGTGAAAACACCAGTTATTTTAAAAACACAAAGTTTTACCTTAAACCTATTTCATCTAAATCTTTATTAATCATTATTTATAAATGTCATCACTCAAAAGTCTGCAATTTCCTAAATGACCTGACATTTGATTCTATTTCACCTTTATGATAAATAAAAATTATACCTTTTGTAAACAATCTTCAGATCTCGCCACTCAAGGAAGCTGCACATTTTAGGTTTCCGTGCTAAAACGGTCTGAACAAGTTCTCTTGTGATCTTTTTCTTCTCTTTGTCTGATAGTGGGACATACCATTTTTGCAGTCGAAGCTTTCCCTGACGACTAAAAAGCAACATAAACTGCATCTGTTAAGATAAATAAAATCAAGATTACATGTAATACTTTGAATCAATAAAGTTAAGATTATGTGTTTCACAGAGAAGCTTTGGGGGATGGGGCATTTAAATGACAAATGATTACTAGCCATCAATATTTCTATGCCAATTAAAATAGCAAGAAATTCTTTTGGACAGATCTTCTCTAGATGCAAACCTTCCAATCCCACCCTGTTCCACGTTAAGTTTGGAGGGGAGTGTGCAAGAGAAAAAAGAAAAATTTGTAATAAGCTGAAGCGAAATTTTTGAAGAAAAATAAAGACCACTCTTTCAATTTAAGAAACTATTTTCTACCTGTGCTATACATTGCGCACTCTCTATATGTATCAAAAGAAAATGGTAGACATCAATTGATTTGGGTATTTTTGAAAGAAACGGAAGACCTGCTATTTTTCACCCTGAGGCCGTTCTAGTTCCAGGGTGAACTACTTGTAGACAGTAGCTTATATCTTAGAATGCTCTCGTCGGTTTATGATGGCATATTTCAAGCAAAACAGAATGATCCAAAATATTAACCAAAAAATCCCATAACTACAAATTTTCCTTAATAAAAAAGTATGTTTTCATCTTACTTTTAAAACATTCCAACTTAAATAGTACAAAATCTAGAACTGAGTTAATGTAGTATTATGAAAAAGAAAACAAACATTTAAAAGGCCACAATAAGATTTACACTTGTTAAATAAGATTTAGTATTGAAACATTACATGAAATACTTTAAAAAAATAGTATCTACAGATAGAGTGGATGCTGAATTCTAGTGTGTTTTATACTTAAACTAATTTGTATGTATTTATTTGTGATCGCAAATGGGTTGATTAGTCTGCATGTTTCATTTTTAACCCAAGCTTTTTGTAATTCAATTGGTCATCTCAACTGCAAACAGAAGTATTGTTTCTACAAAGGTAATTTAAAGCCAGAATTCACATAGGTATCCTTTTTTCTTTTAACCACTGTAAGTTCCTTTAACCCAGCGTTACTGCAAGTAAGATTCAAGCATGATTCTCAAGATTCACCACACCATCTTGAATTTGAACACGGGGAGGGGAAATTTACAGAACCAATGTAGAATAAAAATGGGCCCTAAATTTCGGTAAGAAATTATCGTTGTTTTTTATAACCACCCAAAAAGGTATCAACAAGATATCTAGAAATTTATGACGTGGCAATTCAACTTTAGTAAAGTTAAAATGGTCTTATTACCTCACTTAAAACGCGTCAGGGGAACAAAATATAAGGACATTATTAGATGATACCAAAGTGCCTCCCGTGCAAGTCCTGAAGATAGCGGCATTCGAAGGGGGCAGCAAGTGAAGCATCAACTGGACATTTACTGCAAACCCGTTACCAGAACTTGGAAAAGAATGGACCTCGTATTCCTAGATCTTGGTGACCAGAAAGGGTGAGGGTTTGCTTGCAAAGAGTATGGGCTCAAGGCTGTCTGGAGCAGGGTCCTGTACCCGCCCTACCACTTTGCAGGACGAAAAAACAATGTATTCTCCTTAAAATAAATTATGTCCTAACATGGGACGAAACCCGGTTGCAAGGCACGAGTATTCCTTCCCTCGTGTTAAAAACCAACGCTTTGATTTTGCCGCAAATCACAGGGCACCACAATTCCTCGAGATTGGCATTAAAAACAATGGGCTCAGCTGCGGCGCGGGCTCGGGGCCAGCGTTCCTCGGGTCCGGCCGTCGCCGGTGCCTCCCCCCCACTCCCGTGGCCACACTCCATCACTGACCAAGCCCGGGCGAGGTGACGGGCAAGGAGCGGAGCAGACAATGGCATCCGCCGCCGCGCAGGGGGCGCCAAGAGTCTTCGGCCGCC